CAGAGCGAAACGTCCAAACCTTAAAGCAAAAGATAAAAGCTTCTTTTCTTGAAAAATCCTCAATCCCAAGTAAAGTTCAAAACATATTATTCCGTTATAGAGCAACACCTCTAGCTTGTGGACAGTCACCTGCTCAATTATACTTACATAGAAAAATCCGTATACGTATAAACTCAATTCATCCAACACCATCAACAGTTTCCAGTACTCCTGTAAGATCTTTTTCAGTGGGGGAGAGAGTCCAGGTGAGGTTGTTCATAAATAACCATAACGTATGGCAGTTTGGCAAAGTCGTGAAAAAGTATGGTACACGTCATTATTTGATTTTACTAGACTCAGGTCGGCAATTAAAGAGACACATAAACCAATTAAGATCAACAATAATTCCAGAGAAAAAAAAGTGTGTGACTTTTGGCCCAACCCAGTCTTTTGACATTCCTAAACCATCTAAGATCTCCTCACCTACTCAGCCTAGTATTCTAGAACTTCCAACAAATTCCAAACAGGACGTTGTGACAAAACCAAAAAGAAAGAGACAATTACCTACACGCTTTAGGGACTTCGTAATGTCATAAGCATATTTCAAATCTGTTTTAAGTATTTTCAATTAAGTGTATTTTTCAATTATATATTTAACATATTCAATTTTTAAGTAGCTAATGTTTTCAATTAACTGTTATTTCAATTCTAATTAAGTGGGGGAGACTGTTGAGATCTTCCATGTAATTCCACTGGCGCTAGTATCGCGGTTGTGATGTAACTGCAACTGTGTGTACATTGTATGTTTCAGTTTCGATTTCCAGTATGTTCTGTTGTTGATGTGTTCTATGTACGTATTGTGCCTAAAGTTATTGTTATGTTATAAGTTATCAACATTAGTGCTATCATTGTCAATCATCCTAAATACATATCCCATGCCATTTAATAAACGGTCACAACAGAGACTATAACCCACGACAAAGAGAGACGATCATCTCAGACGAGGGTGTTAGTCCCAGTAGTCAACTTAGGAGTTCATCGCCACAATTTGAAGAACGAAGACGATCACCATCCCCATATAGGCGTAGAAATAGATCACCCTATCTACATGCAGACGTTCCAATCGCTCACCTACTGGGCGTTCAATGGAAACCTAGAAGAAACGCCCTTCTTCGGAGGCAAGGTCGCTAAGGGAGAAAAACCTCCAACAGTGGCGCAGATGAAGACAATAATCTTACATTTAAAAAATATTTCGACCTTTATTAGGTGAAATAATAAAAAATAATAAATATTTACTAAAATTTAATTTTTTCATAGTATTTTCTTGGGATAAACGAATTTCACAACTGCATGCAAAAATATTTCAATTCGCTTAAAAAGTTTTCGAAATATAGTGATATACACAAGAAATAAGATTAACATTAAGGGGATTAAAAGTTTGGAGCCCTCTCTTGACCAAGCATTGGAACCATATTTCCTAGATTATGGCTACCCCCTATATTTTTGGGGTTAAAAGTGCAAATCCGATAAAAAAATAAATATATATTCAGAGAAAATACGTTTTTGTGTCTGATTTCGTAACTTAAAACACCGTTCGCACTTATTAATTAGCATATTTGAAGTCACCCCTCGAGCAATTAAGATTAAGTCCTGGAACGTGGATCATTAGATGAAACGTTATTCAGAATGGTCTATTTTTTACACTGTACAATAACTGTAAAATTCATGCAAATCTAATAAAAACGCTGTAATTAAGAAAATATTAGTCTCACATAAACGTCTAAAAAATTAATTACAATTTCTTACTTTTTTTAAATTCCATAGATTCCTTATTAACCGTTTAATTTAAATTCTTATTTAACTTAACTAGGCATGTTGTTACATATGCCAATAGCAGCAAGCCTGCTTGAAATCAAGCGAATGTTTTAGGCTGAGGGTGCGCTTCTTGTATTTCGGTGGCGCCATCTATAACCGAAATTATGATTTTACCATACACATTAGTCACAACCCGTCTCACTTACCTTTCATCCACCTGCAGATCGTATTTTTGACCTGAACCAGAGAACGATCAATTTCCAATTCAGTATTGATTTGTCATGTGATCTTTTAGGATGATGGAGAACCGTTCTCATGAACACGAGTCCAACGCCCTATTAATCAGGTTATCCCGGCCTAAACCGGGTATTGTCTTACGAATTATTTGAACCTGATATTCAAATATATTTTTAAAGACACTTGGATATTATAACTATTTATTAATTTTATTGGAATTAGTTTAACAGGGGCCTTTGATTTCTATTTAATAGCATCCCTCTTTTTAAAGTAATCTGATTGAATCTAGTTGATCTGAAATAAGCGTCGAGGAATAAACAATATCTCGTGGAATCAGATTTTTCAATAATATAATCAAAATAAATTAGATAACCTGGTTTCAATTGATGCTGCCAAGTTTATTTCCAATTTTTGTTGTTGGAATTATTCACAGATAAGGGAAGGTGCCTCCCTTCTCGTACGGATTAAACAATATTCGTGGATCAAGTTGCCATACTGGGACAAATCGACAAGGAGAAGTAAATGGCTTCACCTACGAGACATTCTTTGACACTTTTTGTTCTTACTTTTACGATGAGAGGGGGGAGTTATAAATGGTGTCTTACAGGTCTCATCAAAAAGTTTTCCCCTTACCTGAATGATTGATGGAGTAGGCGGAGGAAATCTATTAAAAAAGCACACCTGCTCAAAGAGTTTTTAACTCGCCAAATCTTTATGACGCCAAAGGCGATAAAGGGTATCAAATGGAAAACCGATTTACCTTTTTTGCATATAATATTTACACCTCTCTGCAACTGAAACGAGCATCTTCGATTCGATTTCTTTGAACTCATTTAATTGCTATTCAATAGTGACCGATTTCGTAATTCAATTGTAACATTAGATCACTGTCAGTGTAAAAGGGTTGCCCGTATTTATCTCTTTCAGCAGGTCACGTGTACTATAGGTTTTTCTCAACTATGGGTTGGGGGAGAATTTTTATATGTGGTATTCAAATGAGCGTCTGTTACGATATCATCATCGTTATTTATGTCTGCAATCATCTGAAATATTACTTAAACTCTGTAAATATTTCGAAGTATATTAATAATTTTTTTTTAAGAAATAGAATTGAATAGTCAGTTTGATTTAGAATAATTATTTTAAACGTTTTTGTATACAATGATGATGAGATAAAATTTTAAAATATGATAAAAGTATTTTCAAACATTTGCTTTAGATAATAATTCATCATTTCCCATTTTTTTACAATTTTAGAATACTTAAGCATCAGAAACTACATACATCTAACCTTGTCGTAAAACGTAAGTAAATATCAATAATTGTAATGAGATAATATAATCGCAATTATACTTTGTATAAAATGCTAATATTATCAATTATTGGAAATTTATTTTTAAAAGTAACAAGTAAAAAACATGAATGAAAAGCGACTACTGATGAAGGTAGAATCACAGTTTTGGATTTAAATCCCGAAATTACTTCATTAATGTTTTTTTTTATTTATTTCCAATGGCAGGCCAATTTAAAAGAACAAAAAGGATAAAATAACAAGAAAAACAAGGCAAAAAGAAATAAATAGAATTGAATGCATAGTGACATGCTTAGCCCATACGGGCCCTAGCTTCCCAGTAGCGTCCACACACAGTAGTGGAGATGAGCGCAGGACAGACGGAAATATGGGGCAAGTCCATGTCCTCCCCAAGGCGACAGAGCTTGCATTTAGGAGAGTCAAAAATGTTTATGCTAAAAAGGTGTTTCGCCAGACAGTCATGGCCCGTTACAAGTCTAAAGAGAGCGACTGCCGTAAACCTGGGCTGATTTGGGATAGTTAAAATACGGTTGAACCAGGTTTTGTGTATATTGCTTGTACGGAAATTCTCTGAGAGCATGCTCCGGAATTGGTTTCGGACCAGCAATTTAAATGAGTGCAGAGAGATGGAGCAACGAGATGCTTGGGCAATAGTTGTTCCTTTCTTGGCCAAGAAATCAGCTTTTTCATTACCCCAAATCCCGCAATCTCCCGGGATCCATTGGAGGACGATTTGCTTGCCTTTCAGTGTCAGGTCTTTCAGACAGTCAATGCATTTCTGAATGGAGATGGATTGGGGAATCAGTGGAGAGTTAATATCAAGAAGTGCTGCTTTAGAGTCAGATAAGATGACGGCGCTAGAAAATTGGTCAGTACGACACTGTAGTTGTTTTAGGGCAATTAGAATAGCCTCGACTTCACCGTCGTAGGCAGATGCATAGCAGCCAACAGAAGCGTAGGCAGAGAACAGGTGACAAAATACTCCCGCTCCAGCATTCACCCGCTGATCCACTCGGGAGCCATCTGTAAAGATTCTCAACCATTCAGGTTCAGGATATAGCTCATTCATAGTTGCGTAAGAGATACCTTTAAGGACATCACAAACAAAATCTGATTTTAGGACTCTGAGAGCAAGGTCTGTGACCACATTGAAAGTCTGGTAGTCCAGTGGGCTACAAGGAGTGGGAAGAACTTCGGGCTCGATAAAAAGGTTGTATTTGTCTTTTAAGCTCAGCACCCCCTGTAGGAAACCCGCTTGAGTCTTTAAGTATTAAAAAAAGTTGCGTTGCTGCCAATTTCTCTGAAAATTTCTAAATTTGTATTAAAGTAAAGAGTTGAAATTGGTCAAATATGATTTTAAGCTACGAATTAATATTTATGGTATTTTTGTGCACTCGCGCTATAACAAATTCAGGTTATTACCTCGCCAGGACATGTTTACTGTAATTTCATTGGGGTAATGTTTGAAATTACGATTCTAGAACACAATTTTAATTTAAAAGAGCAACATAGCATCACTTTTTCAAGGAACAGTCTGACATCCAACTGTTTAAAGACTGGGTCCGAAATTTTGCACTCCAAAACAAACCGTATTACACGGATGAAAAATTTAAACATATGTGGACAATAATCTATATTTTTAAAGAGTCATACTTACAGTATCAAGGAGATCGACGTACTTGCTCATATAGTATGACCAAATAATTCTGTACATGTTCTGAAAAGATGAAGAAAAAAAAACTAAATCCACAATGTTTCCCTTTTCTATTAATCTTTGGTCAGACATTATTTTGATGAATGCAAAACTGGGATATATACTTTGGTATATGATTCTACAATATTTTTCGTTTCTGAATTTTTTTAAAAATATTTTTATTAAATAAATTTAAATTTTTATAATAGGACTTTTACTATCATGCAAATATCAGTAAGTAAACCAGTTTTAACAGTTATACTATGATTAAAATTCAATTTTATTAAAAACAATGTATTAAAAACACAAAAAGTAAAATGTGACCCGTGATGGCTTATGAGATGGCCGCATGTTTCCCAATGAGGTGAACCGGGTTCAAATCCAAGCAACTGTTGGTCGATACGAATTCCGCACCCGGCTCGTAACGACCACAGAGCTGACGTAAAGTATCCTGAGTGATAAACGGATTAGGGGTTAGAGTCTCCTTGCCGTTAAGGTTATTCGTTTGAGGTTTACGTGGTTTTCCTCTCCCTGTAACACAAATGCGTGTCAGTTCCATCAAAAAATTCTCCTCGAAGGCAAATTTCTCCCAATACTTGATCCAGCAGTTCCCTTGTCTGCTGGATTGGGTTCAAAATTACAAGACTACGGAGTTGTACTTTGGTAGTCGCAAACCAAAAACTGGGTGGGCTCTTTAGCGAGGGTTATAATATAGTAAAATATTGACGTGCCAACTTCGCCGAGAATTTGGAGTCGTCGTCTTGGAGAAACAGAGATGCAGAGTTCGATCCTCAGAACTCTACGAAGATTTAAAACTTTAAAATTAGCTTTTATTTATTATTTCTGTAACTTTAAAAGTTTCTGGAACGTTCTGATGTATCATTTCCTGTTCCGTTATTATTCCTATAAAAGATCGGGTGTTTCAAGCCGAGACCCCAGTTACTTTGCTCGCTGTACTTTGAAGATATGCAATAAATCTCTTCAACTTTCTGGACTAGTTCATATCTATTCTACGTGACATTATTTTGTGGAGGCTCCGGGTACTCGAAGCAGATTTGGCCCCGGTGATTTAAGAAGGAGTCACCGCTTTAGAGGATTGGTGCCAAAAAGGGCCGTAAACTACAAGTCACTATTCCTATTATCCAGCACATTCGTAATCCCTCTTCTTTTTCTGGAGAATCCAACCAAGATCCTGGATCTCGGTTAAAAGATCTTGTCACCAAATATAACAATTGGGACGACGGAACATGCCTTGCAAATGTCTACTTTTTTCAAAGTGGAACAGCCAAACAGTGGTTTGAGAATAATGAAGGCATTTTAATATCATGGGAAGTGTTCCAAACTAACTTGATAGGTACATTCTCTGAAAGTCTGCAATCAGTACATCGGGCAGAAGAAGAATTGAAAACCAGAACTCAACTACCAGGACAAACAAGTCTTTTATACATACAAGCAGTACTGGGATTATGCTATCGTGTCAACCCTAGCATGAGTGAAGCAGACAAGGTTTCTCATCTTATGAAGGGCATCCTGGAAAATATTTATCAAGTTCTACTGACATAAGTAGTAGCAAGGACTACCTCTTTCATTGAACGCTGTCAACATGTCGACTCGTGTGTGCAGCAGCGGCTCCTTAATCGAAGGAAGTTTGAAAGATTTCCAAATGCCGTTCTCGTTGAGTCCCTTGAAGACAATTTTGTCAATGATACACCAAGTGCTACAAGAATAAATCGCCCGACTATTTCCTGTTACTGTTCCAACTCCTGAACCAACAATTGACAATTTAGAAGAGGTTATACGACATGAAATTGTGAAGACCTTAGCGTCCATGACCGAAACAAACTTCAACAGAAACAAAGATTTCGATTGTTTTAAATCAACGGTTCCTGTTTCGTACTCAGAAGCACACACTACGCCGTCAGCCATCTAAAACTCTAGTTTCTTCTTCTCGGCAAACTTATGAGACTCGCCGTTCTCAACTACTCCGTCTTAAAACTGATATCTGGAGAACAGAGGATAACAGGCCAGTGTGTTATCACTGCAGTCGTCCAGATCATGAGTACCGACACTGCCGTGACAGACATTTCGAGACTATAACCCACGACAAAGAGAGACGATCATATCAGATGAGGTTGTTAGTCCCAGTAGTCAACTTAGGAGTTCATCGCCACAATTTGAAGAACGAAGACGATCACCATCCCCATATAGGCGTAGAAATAGATCACCCTCTCCGTACAGACGTTCTAGTCGCTCACCTACTGGGCGTTCAATGGAAACCTAGAAGAAGCGCCCTTCTTCGGAGGCAAGGTCGCTAAGAGAGAAAAACCTCCAACAGTGGCTCAGATGAAGACAATAATCTCGAAATAATTATGGAAAATAAACCAGTGACAGCTCTTATTGATTCAGGTGCATCATTTTCTGTCATTTCTGATGAATTTCGAAAAACTGTATTGGGAAAAACTATGCTGACTGATTACTCTAGTTTATTCATAAAAGTAGCCGATGGAAAATACGTTAATCCGATTGGACGTTGTACCATAAGATTGACAATCAGCAACCGCACGAATTCATTGCCCTAGAAAAATGTAGCCATGATGTAATTTTGGGTTGGGACTTCTTACACGTCTCACAGGCTATTATTGACTGTGGTCTTGTGGAACTGGTGATAGAAGATATCTGGGACGAAATAGTGCATAAGGAACTCCAACACAGCCAACTTTGTGTAGTAGAGGATTGTGATATTCCCCCTATGACCATAAAAATAATTAAAGTGGAAACAACAATTGGGTGCAAGGAGAGTAAAGGTTTACTGGTTCAATGCGGTAGATTTTTACCACTGCAGCGAAATATAGTGCTCCCATCATCTATTATGCAGAAGGATAAAGATGGACTCCATGTATGGGTTTCTAATTTCTCTAATCACTCCACTTGTCTTCCCAAGGATATATGAATTGGTCATGCGCAAGAAATTGAAAAACACAATCTCTACAGTTTTGACTCTGAAAATGTAGCTGAACCCTAAGGCCTATCAACTGAACAAAGAACTAGCTTAAGTAATATTTTAAGGAAATTCAAAGACGTTTTTCTACTGAAGAAAAACTAATCCGAAAACGTCGTGAAGCATCACATGAATACAGGAAATCGTCAGACCATATAGAGTTTCTGTTGCTGAGCGACGTATTACGCACGACGAGGTAGACAAAATGCTTGCTCGAGACATCATTCAGGAATCTAGATGTCCGTGGTCTTCTGTGGTTTTTGTCAAGAAAAAAGATGGAAGTTGGCGTTTCTGTATCGAATACCGGCGATTAAATGAATTAACCAAAAAGGATGTGTACCCGTTACCCAGGGTAGACGATATTCTGGATTGCTTAAAGAACGCAGATTACTTCTCATCTATAGATTTATTTCGTGGATATTGGCAAGTAAAAGTCGATGAAGCTGATCGGGAAAAAACTGCTTTTGTAACCTCTGATGGTCTATATGGATTTAAGGTTATGTCGTTAAGACATTGTAATGCTCCCGCCACCTTTGAAAGAATGATGAATAATTTATTACGGCATTTGATATGGAAAATTTGTTTGTGTCAACGACAATGTAGTATTCTCAGATACTTTCGCCGAACACGTGCGACGTCTAAGGATTGTTTTACTTGTCTTGATGCAGCAGGATTAGAACTCAATACAAAGAAATGCCTCTTTGGCTCAAATAACTCAAGGTACATCGTCATGTCTGTAGTACAGAAGGAGTAGAGCCAGATCCAGATAATGTTACGGCTCTCGCTAACCTGTACCTACTTCAATTACAGACATCAAAAGTTTCCTCGGACTTTGTTCATACTACTGTAGGTTTATAAATGACTTTTGTATCAAAGCGTATCCCCTGCAGAAACTATTAAAAACGATGAGAAGTTCATGTGGTCAGAAGAACAACGCTCCTCGTTTGAAATTTTGAAGACCGCTCTAACCACTGAACCTGTATTGGGTATATTCGATCATGATGCCCCCCCCCCCAGAGTTGCACACTGATACCAGTGGCTATGGCATCATTGGATAAGTGTTAGTTCAAACTCAGAAAGGAAAAGAGACTGTAATTGCATATGCCTCTCGAGTACTGACCAAGTCTGAAACAAATTACTCGACAACAGAAAGCGAATGTCTTGCTGCTATCTGGTCCATCAGTAAATTTCGTCCTTATCTTTTTGGAAGACAGTTCACTATTATAACAGATCATCATTCATTGTGCTGGCTTGCAGTAATGAAAGATCCTTCTGGAAGGCTAGCTCGGTGGGCTCTCAGACTACAGGAATTTGATGTAACTATTGCTTATAAGTTTGGTCGTAGACATAAAGATGCCGATTGCTTATCCCGATATCCACTACCAACTACTGAAAATGATTTTAAAAAAAAGTAAAACTGCCATCGCAAATCTCTCGGAAGAACAGGACAAAGACCAGGAGATAACAACTTTGAAGACTAATATAGGTCAGCGAAGTAATGATTCAAATTATTAAATTATGGATAGTATGCTCTGTAAGCGAAATTATGAATCGGTCAGAAGACAGTGGCTACCGATGATTCCTTTTAAGTTACGCCGGAAAATTCTTCATCATTTTCATGACGCGCCAACAGCAGGTCATTTGGGATTCGCCAAAACGTTGGATAGGATAAGAAAACTCTTTTATTGGCTTAGAGTGTGAGGCGGTACGTTTCTCATTGTAACGCGCAACGTCTGCCGCAAAGGTTGCCTGGAAGCTTGATGTCAATCCCACCTGCAGAAGCATCTTTTCATAGAATAGGTATTGATTTGCTAGGACGCTTTTCTAAGTCACTTTTAGGAAACAAATGGATTGTAGTGTGTACAGACTATTTGACTAGATTTGTCACTACGAAAGCTCTACCCAACGCTGAAGGCCCTGAGGTAGAAAATTTCCTGCTTGAAGGCATTCTGTTAAAATATGGTTCGCCAAGAGTTATCATCTCGGGTCGATCGTGGATCTGTGTTTCTCTCGATTGTTGCATCGGAGCTATTGAAACTTTGTGACGCGGATCATCGCACTACAACAGCCTACCATCCTCAGACTTATGTCCTCATGGAAAAATTTAACAATACGTTAGCTGATATGCTGTCTATGTATGTTGACGTTGAACAGAAAGATTGGGATGTTATTTTACCCTTTGTCACCTTCGCCTACAACACATCTAAGCAAGAAATTACTGGCTTCTCACCATTTTATCTTCTTCACGGTTATGAAGCTGAAACAACTGTGGACACTGTGTTTCCTAACCAACCTAGATTTGAAACTGATTATGCTGCGCATCTTATCTGCGAAGCAGAAGAAGCAAGACAACTTGCTCGCCTTCGTATCATTGATGTGCAAGAGAAAGAGCGAAACGATGCAAAACACCGCTCAATGTCTTATGAACCAGGTGAACTTGTTTGGATTTTTAGACCAGGTCGAAAAAGTTGGGTTGTCCGAAAAGCTATTAAAGAAGTATTTTGGAGCTTTGGAGCCTCGTAAGTAACATCAGATAACTAAAGCGAAAGTTATCTGATGTTACTTACGAGGTCGAAGTCGTTGCTCCATCTAAAAGGCGCAAAACTACGAACGCCGTCAACGTGATGCGCATGAAACCTTACCATGACCCATCGTTTCAGTTAGAACCATGTGAAGCCGAAAATGCAGAAAAAATGAAAAGTCACAAAACAACGAAACAATCTAAGGACGAGAGTAAGTTGGAGTATCGAGGACCCGATCACGTGCCAGAACAGCCATAGAGTGAAACACCAAGGACACTTTTTTTTTTAAGGAAGATGCTGCGACGTGTCAGCGTACCCGAGAGATTGGAGTCTTCGTCCTGGAGAGCCAGAGTTGCTTAGTTCGATCCTCAGCTCTAAAACTCTAAAATAAACTTTTATTTATTATTTATTTATTTTCTAGACGTTTGTGGTTTGTTCTGATGTATCATTTCCTGTTCCGTTATTATTTCTATAAAAGACCGGGTGTTTCAAGCCGAGACCCCAGTTACTTTGTTCCCTGTACTTTGAAGATGTTCAATAAATTTTTTAAACTTTCTAGACAAATTCATATTTATTCTACGTGACAATATAAAATACAATAATTACTATTGATGATTTTTGATGAAAATTACTAACTCTGAATTTTATCACAGTGCGATACTTAAATAGTAATAACCAATGTAAACGACAAAAAAAGCGGAGATTTTCATATATCTGTTTTTTTTTTCTTCCAAAAAGATACATATTGCAAAAATTTTTTAAAATATAAATAAATAAAACTATCAGTTTCTTGAAATTCTATTTTATTGCTAATAACATTTGCTATTTTTACATTCCTTATCTTTATTTATGACTTCATTTTCTTAATTTATGATTTTATTTTATTTATCGATACTATTATTACAATCTTTAACCTGGATTCCAGGAAAAATGTATGCGGACAAGTTTATTTTATAATCGGACCCCTATAAATTGAGTATAATATAAAAATTCAACTGACCTAGCTTTGTTTCCAATTTTTATATTTAAAGTGAACGTTTGGTTAAATTGCAAAATACCCTTTGCATTGTCTTTTCAAAGTATTTTTTTTCTTTTCTGGCACTTAATCTTTTATAACTTTTAATTGGGATTATATTTAAAGTACTACATTTAAAAATCAAAATGGAGTTGTTTTTAATGTTTTACTTTTTATTTTAAATGCATCCGGATACTATTTCTCATAGCAGTTTAGTCCAAATTCTTTGCTGTATAGTGGATGAAGTTTCTTTGTAGAATTTAAGTCCAATTTTTGGTCGTATGAGATACATCTGAATTTTGTTACGAAGGGATACCATAAAAATAAATATAATCATTTGAGAAAAATAGATTTATTATTTAAAGAATAAAGCCATACTTAGAAATAAAGAAAGGAAAGAAAAGAATCATTCAAATCCATGCTTGGAGATTTATCGAAAGTCAAAAATTAAGAAAAATCTCTTTAATCAATATTAAATTTAAAAATAATTAGACTATCGCCATATTTCTGTGAGAATTAGTATAACCCTGAAACATTTTTGTGGTAAGAAATAAAGAGTTATAAATAGATTTTGGATTATTGATTTAGTCACGACAGTGAATTAATGAGTTTTACATTTGTATTGAAAAAAAAGTTACGTTACATTGATTGCTAAGAAAAGAATAAAATATTTATTAGTTTTTTTTAAATGTAATAAAAATTAAATAATTGGTTTAATTTAATTAAAATTCGATTAAGAATAATTTAAAAGAAATGAAAGGCATTTTAAAAAAGTATGAAATATGGAATGCCTATTATGGCATCACACTATCAAGTGTCAATTTTGTGGTTGGTCACTTTCTTGTTTCCCGTTGGGATTGATTCTCAGCAAAAAAGAAATTTGGTTACAATTTTAGCCCCAATGATAAGCATTGTTAATCACAATATTTATAGATAACTACTGAGGCGAAATGACTTGTGTGTTGTTTGCTTGCATTAAAACTGTCACGTTTCCTTTTATCAAATTTAGGTCTGTTTTGTGCTTGTTGGTTGAAATTTTGACTTGGTAGGGAAAAAGTTTGATTTTATCGCGTATAATTATTATAATCTTGATTAACTGAGTAGCTTATAAACGCTGATACTGATGATATTTTTGTCATTTTGGTTCTTTATTTTTATTTTGAATGAGGATTTAATGTTAGATGCAGTGACAATGGGAATTTTGGGTTCTTTCAGAACAAAAGGAGTTGTGGCGTAACTACCACACGATTATTAAACTTCAATTCACTAGTTTATTTGTTAAATTCCATCTTAGGTAAGTTTTGATAGATTGACTTAGTCGAAAGATTTTTTCCCCACATTGGCAACCCGCTGTCCTACTTCGAAGGATGTTGACGTGGCAACCTCATCGTGCATCTCATTTCATACGGGATTCTGCATACACTCGACTGGTAGACAACACAGAAGAGTAAACAATCGTGAACAGCTCTCACGACAAACTCTTAGAATGTGATCGAATTCTATCCAATTCTGGTAGGGAGTATTTTATCGTAACTACCACTAAAGTTAATTAAACATGAATTGACTAGTATAAAAAACATGTTAACACGTTTCAATCAGTCCCAAAGACAAACCCTAAATTATCTGTTGCTTAAATTTGTTTTTCGTCCTGACTCTATCTTTTCAGTAAAATATGAGCTTTAAAGAACAAATTCTTCTGTTAAAAATCACTGAAGCCAATTGGTTGGATAAAATAATGACACATTTCTATTATTTCCACGAAATAATTACAATTCAAACAATAGTTAAATAATTTCAGCGCCGATCCACGAATTAATTTTTAGATTTCCACTCGTCATTTCATTTAGAATTCCCAGTGTGTTTCTGAAAATGCTTGAGCCAGGCTGTGAACCAATGTCAGATATATTTATTTAATTCTACTTTGAACTTCATTTAAATTTTGAAATCATTTTTTGAGTTTATTATTATAATTCACGGAACTGTTTGAGGCATCAATATTAGTTAGATGGGTATTACATTTTTTCCCAATGTTATCCATTTTTGATTTGTAGTCTTTGTTTCTCCTCAAGGGCTTTAAAAATAGTTTTTTAGATATTTGATTTATAAGAAAAAATTTTAAAATTATTTTTTGTAATAAAAACGTGGACCCGTTCAAAATATTTTGACAACAAATGATACTTTATTTTGTAACAAACTTCTAATATCCCTGCTGTCTTATTTATAATCGAATTATTATAAACATGAAACAAACAAGCACTATAAATTGCTTTAAACATGATGCAAAATGTCTGAAAATCTAATGTTAATATAGTTTACAAAAAAAAGAAGAAAAAAAAGCATAATGTATTTTAATAATTGTTCAATTGATCACACATTTTTTTCTTTTTTATACACCCGAAACACAACTAATTACCTGATTTGAAATCAATAATATCAATACCACAATAAATATATCCATGAATTTAATAGAGTTACCATTATCAAATTAAGATTTTCTTAATCATTGGAGGAATAAATTTTCATCTATTCTAAAACAAAAAGAAATTGTGACCACAGATATGCTATATATTTAATTTTTATTGGTTGGAACAACAGTTCAAAATAAATTAGCACATTTTCACGGTATCCGGAAATCTCAGTCCATTCCCACTTCTTAACTGAAAAGGCAAGATTCTCCCGCCAACGTGTTGAGAATGAACTCAGAGACGTTTTTCTTGTTTATGGGTGTTGCGATAAGGTTAAATTCAATTAAATAGATTATTAAAAGCATACATACATTGGAGTATTCGTCAGTCGACGCATTCACTGAACATAACCTCCCTTCTTTTACGACATCGTACAGATGCCTGAAAAACTAAAATTAAAAAGAAGGAAACCCTTTTAAGCACATTAACAGCCTATTTTAAATATTTGATACAAATCTACTAGAACAAACACTATATACAAACAGCTACAAAAGTTTTAATAAAAATACCATTTATTTCTACCTATCAATTCATATGAAAAATTAATAGATAACAGCTTTCAGAAATCGTATTATTTATTTTAATAAAGGCAAAGGACCCCACGATAGATTGCTTTCCTCTCTCTGAACATTTTGTAGTTCCGTCCGGATATCATCCTAAAAAGGATTTTATAATTTGCAAAATCAAGTGAAAATATATTTAAACAATGAATCAATAAAGAAGGTAACGTTGATTGAAACGTGCAATTACGATCATTAGATCAAAAGTTATTCAAAGTATTCAATTTTTTATTTTGTGCACTTAATGATTAACGCATCTAGCAGTCATTGTCACCTTGAAAAGTACCTTTTTTTAAAAAAAAAAAACTTTTTTGAAATAGAGTTTCAAATTTTAATTTAAAATATAATGGTATAAAGTTAAAAATGTTTCTCAATATAACATTTAGGGTTTCTATACATTTTCTTCGTTTAATGGTCGAGTCATTATAGAAAGAGGTGTTTCTTTCTAAAAAAATGCTTTATATTAATGATAGCTTCTATCATTTCAGTTTTTGAAATATCAGGCCCATTTGATTTGCGGCGTTTTGTCTCATTCGATTCAACCAGAAAAAATGGTTCACAATGGAGCAGGTTCAACATCGTACTTTTTGTAGTACACAAAACATTGTCTCGGGATCGGTCTCATATAATTGCGTGAAAAATTGCATGTGGAAAATTTATATTACATGTACAGGTAGCACTACAAAGTGCATAGATCAGTTCTCGTTAAAAGAAGCTTTGTTTATGCATCAAAATTCTTTTGTTCTACTGACTCGTGTATACAAATGCATTGAAAACACTGTTTAAAATATCACATATAGGTTAACGCACAAATTTGTATTTTTTAACACATAAATATTTATAACTTCTAAACTATTAGACTGATCCTCGTCTTGGGATTGCAGTGGGAAAATATTCCTCGCGGCAATCACTCCTCAAATCAGCTTCATTTCCCTCTAAAAGGGACGACAGAGAAGAGCATTTATAATAACATAAGAAATCTCGGGTATTATTTTTTTTTCGGTAGAAAAAAGTCTAATTTTACTGAACTGTAAATAGATATTGTATAAAAATGTCGCATATTGAATGTTACTTGTTGCAAATTGAATGGATTTTCTAATAGAGATTGAAAATAAAATTTAATTTTAAATTTATGAATACATTACTTATTTTTGGATATTTAAACGCTAGTAATTTCCATTTAAAAGCATAAATATTTTGAATTTCTGAGCATGGAAAGGAGTTTGCTTCATGATAACTTTTAAAATATTGATAGGTAGGTATATTTTATTTACGTCACCAATAGGGGAAACATTCCCCTCTGCTATTGGACAAGTCTATTTATTTTAAGAGTGGAAAACCGAGGATCAAACCCACCTTTGTCAAAGATTGATGCGTGTTTTCTCTCTGACAAACAGAGAATATTAATCAAGGTCAATACTTACGAGAACATTCATTATTTTCACTCTTTACATATAGTTGAGAAATACAAGAGGATAAACAATTTTAATTTAATCGGAAGATACTTACGCTAAAACTGAGGTACGCATTCCACAAAACAATGGTGACATTAAATGCAATTAATAATCCATTTAATTTGAATGGCTTTAATGGTTTCATAATGAGTGGACCCAATACTTTTACGATGAGTAGATAGGCGGAGATAATGGCGAGAGGATAATGTATACGGCCTATACGATCCGCGTAGTCAGCCTCTGAAAAACACATTCATTTATTGAATAAAGTGAAAAACAACATGAATGAAGCAGAAATGAACCTTCATCAGTCACTTATTTGCTTAACAGAACTGAATATGTCCCTTACTTTATATGTGCTTTACTAACATTGTTTTTCACTTTATTCATACGTAGCACAAAGTATTTTGTCTTTCTCACCAAATGCTAACAGTTAAAAAGGAAATGAAACCTTTAATATGTTTTTGTACGAAACTAAAGGAAAGAAGTGGAAAGTGAAAGAAATTGCATTTTATTGATCAAAAAGTATGAAACCAGTGGTCGGAAGTAGAGAACTACAAATAGTTCTGTAGTCGCTACTTTGTTTCCTAATTTGTAGTGTAGTGAGCTACCTTTTTTTTTTTTTTTTTTTTTAAAAAAAAGTAGTGAAGTGAGTGGGGCAATACAAAAAAGCAGTATTACCTGGCTTTAATCTTAGTTTAGAAAGAAAAAAAAAACACTTCTAACACAACTAATTTATTGAATTTGATCTGCACTAAAGACTTCGCAGGTCCGTCAATGATCCTGCAACTGAGCTTCAACAGAAAATTGCGTATTTAAAATCACTATTTAAACTAGTCATTACGAAAAATAGGTAATTAATCACCAATTTCTTATTCAAAATCATTCGGTGTAAATTCCAGAAAAGTTTGTTTCCTTAAAGTAGTGAAGTGATTTCAAAGTAGCCACTACATTTAAAAAAAGTTGTCATAGTTAACTACAGTTGTAACAAATCAATTGTAGCTGTAGTAAACTACAAAAATAGTGTAGTTTTTCTGAACACTGTATTAAACACTTTCATGCAGATAAAATGAAGCAGTTAACGTACATTGATGTTTAATGCAATTAAAATAAAAATTCGATAAAAGTTTTTAAGGGAACAAAAAATAAGCATTTTAGAAAAGCTTTTTAAAGAGCAATATTGTTTTTCAATCTATCTATGAAACATATTTAAAAACTATCAATTTCGCCAAATTAGCTTCACACTTTGATCAAACTCTGCCTATGAACGGAACCCACATTATGAATGAACATATAAATTAACTAGAAACTGTTTTATGACATTGTTTTATTTTAAAACTAGGTTTCATGTCAGACAGTTCGGGTGTACGCAGTCTAGTTGTATAGTGAAATCTAGTCTGCATAAGGGAAAAAGCTGAGATGAAAAAGGGCAAACATGGAAAGATGTATCTCTATTAATAAATTTGGTCATTTCATTTAATAGTGTTCATTCATTAATACATGTCTTTTATCATTCAATTATACATGCATTTATGCCGATTTTCAATAGGCGCAGCTCTCAAAAGTACAATCATAAGTCTATGAGTACAATATTCAATCACACTTAATACTATAAAACATATTTTTTGTTACTAAGGGAGTTATCTTTATCACTAAAGAGATTATGAAATTTATAGAAGTCTGATACGTACTAGATAAACATTATCTAAATTGAAGTGGTTCCGAAATTAGGAAAACTCTAAATTGCTTTGATGAGTTACCACTTAAAATATTTTTATTTCGGGCTTAAAGGACCGCCTATCGTCACAAACTTTCTCCAATATTGCTGTGAATGGCGGAAATGTGTGGCATCGGTGAATGTTGCCAATCACATAGTAGCTTTGGCAAAATGTAAAAAGGTCTAGTTAAGTGCCCGGTATGCCCTACATCAATTTTTTAAGGTCAAGTGTCCCGTATGCATGTAACCGGTACTCCTAACACTGATGTGTCCCTCGTAATCTATTCCCTACCGAATAAATAGAATAATATCAACGAATGAAATAATATTAAATATAACAAATATTTTGGGTACTCACTAAAGCGATTACGTGATTATTGACATTCACAGGTGAAAATCGACATTCTCTCGATTTCGGTCATTCAAGGTGACATATACATGCAATTAGATGTTTTTGTATTTATTTGCATTTTACTAAAATTATTAAAACAAACTGAAATACTAAAACAATAATGGATATTAGATTCAATATTAATATAATTACAAGTTTCAAAAATCATAGCTGGTTCCAAAAAAAAAAATTCCAACTTTCGGTGAACCTTTCCACGGAACCTTTGGGTTCTGTTAGGTTCTTTTGAAAACCGCTGGTGTATATAATGCAAACTTCAAGCAGTTCCTCTACATAATAATGGCCCAATTTGGCTGTAATTCTGACTAATCAGGATAATCGTTTTAGGTAAACGATGGGTAATTAACTCTAGATTGCCTAAGAAAACCCTTTTGACTGCTTTTAATTTCAATTAGTGAAACAATGATGTATATAATGACACAATTTCTTAGAATTTTGTACAACATATAATTTTTTTTAGTGTTAATATTTACTAATAACTCGTTATATAACTGTAAATAATATAAAAAAATATTAAAAATTAATTTAAAACAAATTTCTTTACACATTATTTATTCTTTTACAATCCAGTCATTTCGGCAGTGGCAATATAGGTAAATAGTAATTTTCAGTCTTTCTAGTGTTAAGAATAATGTAATAGGGCGTGACTTTCATGTGAACAAGCGTCTTTGCAACATAAGACATTATAGTAATTATCCCATATTGTGACTTAATAGGTCATGAATAATACTTAATCAATGACTTATTGGGATATAAGTAACAGTCGACTAGGAAAAAACATCAGTTTATGGAATACTAAGTTATGAACCTTAATCCTCTAGGGAAAAAATATCAGTTAAGAAATGAAGGGGTCATTCATATCGCCAATAGCCCTTTTCTTGATAAGCAACTCTATAGGAAATACCGATCAATGGCCTAAAAAGCATCTGTGTAAGAAATACCGAGCAATTGTTTACTGAGCAATGGTCCATACACCTTTATTTCCTGGGTAAGAAGATAATCGCAACCTTTCTTGTGAAGTAAAAGAAAATAAACATTACAACGTGTTGCAACAAAAAAGTATTTTGAACATGCAATATGAAATAAATATATTTCACTCTTTGTCTTTTTGCGTATACAATGCCAAATTTCCCCCTTTCCTATTAATGTATTTTTGAAATATTATGTAGAGTGGGAATACTACTTTGTATTATCACTTATGATTTATTAAATAAAAAGGTATTTTAAAAGAAATCGAAAAATTCTATTTGATGAATATTAATTAATAAACAAATTAATCCTTTATTCGAATTCATTTAGAAATTTTTGAACCTAGCTGAAATTAAAAACAAAAGATTGTTTTATCCAACCTAATGCGTTCTGTCTAATAGTAATAATAATGATTTCTGACGCAATCAGAAGCTGTTTAAAAGGAAATACTTCGGGTTGAGAGAATAATGACTTACCTGAGCTGAACAGGAAGTGTTGAACAGCGTCGTATTTTTCGGAAATCATGTGCGCCATAGCTGGTTTCTCTGACATTCCGGCTATATTTAGATCTAAAAAAAATCATTATTAAAAAATCATGATCCTACTGAATTGGATCCTACGGTAAATGAAACGTAACATGAATTGTCTGTTTGAAATAAAGGAAAAGTCTGCTTAGAGAGCTATAGGTACTATTAAGCTAGATTACACTGCGATGTAAAAAAAGTCGAATCCTCACTTCATTCAGGGAGATTCTTTTATAAAATAACCCAATATGATTCTAGTTTTCACACCCTTCTCCTAAACCGATTTCTGAGTGGGGACAGTTTTCTTTCTTATGTTTTTATCACTTTTCGATACTTTAAATGTTTATATACGTGTAAAAAAAATTTACTTAGCAACATAGAAAGTGAGACAATATGTAACTTGTTAACAATATGTAACTTTTTTTCGTGTAAGAGTACAAATTGCAAGCGGGTTTTTTAATTTTATCTCTCTTTAATTAAAAAAACAAAACAAAAAAAAAAAAAACATATTATGATTTTTAGGCAATATCTAATCTGTTTCTCATTTTTTTTAAAATTTTATTTAGTAATTTTTTCTACCTTTGACATCAAATGAAGCGCGAACTTTTAAAATAAAGATGAGAAAGGAGAAATAAAATTTTCTGCAACAATGGAAAAACCGCCATTAATTAAAGCAAAAGAAAGTGAAATAAAGTAGCTAAGAAATTAATTAAAATTCGCAACAATTAGAATCTAGAAAAAAAAATTTGTGAAGCACATGAAGGAAAATAGACTTTCAACGCGTCAAATTTCAACTCTGTTGCTGCAGGCTGTAGATCACCTCACCTGGTATTTTTTTACTGCAAGATTAACAGTTGATAATTCTTGAGCTAATAATCGAATAACAATTTTTTTTACATGCTGTTGTACTCCTTGGACAATTTTCTACATAGTTTTGTCATTTCAATTTTCAAAGTCTTATAATGTTTCTTCAAAAAAACAAAAATGTGAAGTACAGTTGAACACCCGTTGCTTACTATTTTTTTTTTTTATTAGAGAGAGATTTTGGATTACGTAGCAATGAACAAGAAAATACTGATTTTATTTTAGCTTTCTCTTTTGTGCTTATTCGGTAGTTTTATTTGACCGCGGTATCGAAAAGCTATGTCGTATCTGTTATAAATCTAGAACAATTTGTGCTAGAAAATTGGAGATTGACTACAAGCAGCAATTTTAGACCCTGGTCTTAAAAATTGTTCAATTTTAAATAGTTTGTTCTGGAAAGACTTTTAAAAAAATGCTTTTTTTTGCATTAGTTCAGCATTAGGTATCCTAATAAATTTAACTGTTTAGGAGTTAAGTGCAAGAATTCTTTTTTACAAACTCCATGATCAACGTGAATCAGTGACGTCACCAAAATAGTGTTTCTAAAGTTATCTGAAACCACGAGTTTATTTTGTTCTTAGTTAAGCTTTTAAAACTTATTTCTACGGAATAAAGAAAAAGCCTCAAAAGCTGCCAATCTATATTCAAAGCTAATGAAGAGACTCCTTTTAGGGAACCATAAAATAGTTTTTATATATTATTGACGCCTATGATGCTTGTTAATATTTTAGTTTAGAGTATTATTTCGTAGTGCTCTAATCGGAGCTGCAGAGCCGATACTTGAAATGTTACAGCTTCAACGTATTTAAAATTTCCACTGAATTTCAGGAAAGTATTAATTATAATAAAAATGAGATTTCGTACATTTGCGATAGCTTCCGTACTCTCCCGTACGCAAGATTGAAGCAAACTGCGCATGCTTGCGTTTGTTTCAGATGCTTACGTATCTTTACGTTACGTTAGCGTGATTCACGCTACGAAGACAAAGCTGCAAGCACGCTGTTTATAGCTGTTAGATATTGTTTTCCGTTTAACCCTGCCTTTGAACTAAAAACATGGAATACGAATTTGAAGAAATGTATTGATGAAATTTAGAAATGAATCGCGTGATCATACAATATTCAATAAGAAAAATTCATTCAATAAAAAAATAATTTCATTAATTTCTGTTTAATATTATATTTGTCTAATTGCACTAGTTTCATTGGAAACTCGATATATTTTCGCCATTTCAAAATTACAAATTATATTTTAACTATACAATTTAGTTAAAAAAATTAAATAATTAATAGATGCTCAATAATATTTTATTATTATTATTAATAATAATAAGCTGCATTCTTTATCGCCGAATTCATCAAAATATATGATCTACCTAATTTTTCTGTTCACAAATCCGCAGTTTTAGGTAGAGCAAGGCATCTTGAATCATTTGCCACAGATTTAAAGAAATAGTTTACATGTATTGTAAATGTTTATATTGTTTTTGTAGTCAAGTTAAAATAATATTCTACTACGATAGCGTTTTTAACTTACTGATTTTTGCAAAATCTCATATTTTCACTTACGTAAGTTTGATATTTTTTCCACTGGTGTATGCGCATCTGAACAGAATTGACGCATGCGCACTTGAAAATTTACGTACCGGAGAGTACGGTAGATAACGTAAATTTGCGAAATCTCCCTATTATCATACTTTATGTGACGTTGCTATATTAGTATTTTTTATTTAGCTAATAATTTAATTTCTGTTTTAATTCAAAAATCCTTTACCTTTTGTCTCTGACTACTCTGTTAATAGTTAAGTAGATAAACATGTTTATAGCGCTCTAGAAGAGTTTAAAATTATTTCTTTCATAATTTAATCTCCCATTTTTAATGAATTTGCTTGAAAAAAATACCAAGAAACGTAATAAAGGTACGAATACTTCTGCACAATATTTATAAATCGGCTTTTACAATTTATGCCCAAACCAGATATGGTCATTAATTGAAATTTTTATAATTTCAAATACTTGAACTAGTATTTTAAACTTTGAGCAAATAATTTTAGGTTAAACAAAAGTAGTTTATTTCTCTCAGTTTGAAATGTTTTCTTTAAAACTTTAAAGATAAGTTGATAAAAAAATATAATTCTGATTAAATATCTTCTAATGAGCGAATTTTCATAATAGTTGATTTTAAATATGCTAATAATTAGTACTAACAATTAGTTATATTAAGGACCAAAAAAACGTGTTTTTCTTGAAGTTTTTTTTTTTTTCTTTTGACAGATTTTTTTTTATCACTAGATTTTGCGGTTTACCCTAGTCCTGAGAAATATGCCCGGAAATCAGTCGAAAAATCGGGCCCCTTAAAGTTAATTTTTATTTTTGCGTTAATGAAACAAAAACTTTTGTACACATTGATAAAACTTGTTAATTCAATGATAATTTAATGTAAAAAACAATTTTTAATATTTATTGATTATTTTATTTAATAATAAGTCGGAAAATTTTCACTTGTTCAGTATATAAAATCATTGTAAACTATGTAATGTCAAAATAAAATATTTGCATGAAAATCGGTCGAATAGATTACAGGACACCAGATTTTAAATATACGACCTTTTTGATATTTTAAAGACATAATTGAGCCATTGCATTTTAATTTTTTTTATTTTATTACTTAAAACTGCATAGTTTAAAACGATGTACAAAAATTATAAGTTGCAATTTAAAATTTTTTCGAATTATTATTAAAAAAAAATAATATTAAACTAATTATTGAAAAAAAATTATCTTTTCCACTGTAAATTATCTTTCCCATGGAATTATATTTGGATAAATTGATTCGTTGATTGTGTTCAAAAATTATTTTAATTCGTTTGAATAATTCCCGAGATTTGGCGAAAAAGTGAGATTAACATTAAGACTATTAAGATTGCAATTGGCCCAGGATCGAATTCTTGTGATGGCTGATCGATACGACTTTTCCCCCCAACTCACACCCACCGCAGTGCTGATATAAAATGTACTCGAGGTCATGGTATCATTCGTTTGCAGTCTAGCTAACTGTTAGAGGATCTCGTAATTCCCCCCATGTAACGCAAATGTGGATAAGTTTCTTCAAAAAGTTCTCCACGAAGACTAGGCTGCCCAAATTCTTGATCTAGAAGGTTTTCTAGCGTTCTAGGGTGGATTCAAAATTGCCAAAATGATGCGGAGTTGATTGTCGTAAATTCAAAATCGAGTCGGTTGCTCAATGCAGGTTCTAGAATGAAATCGCAAGTGATCCTACATCTACTAAGAAAAGGTTTCTAGGAAAAAATGTATATAATTCTTTAAATTGCTTTCTTTTAGCCTCGTGTTTTTAAGTAAAACTCAAAGCAGTTTTCGTCTGGCTAAAAAATAATATTTTCTCATCGCTCATTGATATTTTAGATACATTTTGTGCTACAACAAATTCAAACGCCGTATGAAAAAGGGTCTTTATTTTATGCAATATTCAGCAAATGTAATTTAATGTTTCGCGAACCTGCTTTTGATATACAATCATGTAGCGTCATTTTTTAGTTTTCATTTAGTTTAACAGATAGAGATACATTTTTTTCAAGTTGCAAGTTCTTAATTCCGCGACACACAAACTCTAAAAATATATTCTAATATTTATCAGAAGTTATAAAAATGAATAATACTAAAATATGAAGTGAAATACATTAGATACATGAACACAACAACAATCTTACTATTCTTACCTAGGTGCAGCTCCTCTCTGAATAGCTTTGAAATGCTGACACACTTTCTTTTCGTTTGAACTTATATATATATATTATCTAACCCCCTTCTTCCTTTATATCTATCATTAGTTTATCACCTTCGAGGATAAAAGGAGGAAGCAACGTTTTCTGTATTTCAACACCCGTGTAATATTAGTCAGGCGTGTCTAAAAATTGATGTTGATATCTTTTTATTAATATGTTTTTTGTAGGCAGAAAGGGTAGAGAAACAACATATTTGGACAATGTTTTGGATATACTTTTAAATTCGAATAGTTATGGCTCATACTAATATTTAGAGTTTGTGAAACTTATCGTGAAATTAATAGCTCTAAGTGTAAAATTAAATAGAAAAACAAACGCAATGGGGACGTTATATCATTGTTCATGAAAACCTTAGCTATTGTTCTATTCATTTATTCGAATTTGGTGAATTCGATTGAGTTAATGGGACTGAGAATTCAGAAACTGAACCAATATACTGTTACCAAATTGTAAATATGTGTATAATTTTGTGAATATTCTTTTGATATGAGGCTACGTATCTATGACTTACTCTAAATAAAGAGTTTAATTAGAAAATTTGCGAGAAAATTCCGTCATTCTAACGTTAGTTAAAGAGTAAATATCGCCTTAAGTATTTCTCATGGAAAACTCGGTTTGGCGACAGCTTTGGTGATAATCTTGGCAGTATATAGCTACGCTTTTGAGAATAAAATGGCACTTTTTGAAAATTCGAATTTCAAAGCGATAGGACTAATATTTACGGAAGAATTTTGTGTAGAATTGTATAGGGAATCTTGAAATGTAAGATCAAGATGGCAGGAATTTTCCACCAACTGAAACTATTAAATCATGCTTTCGCTGGTAAAATTATCTTCTGAAGGATAAAATTTTTCATCAACTGATTCAAGATTGTCGAGAATATGTTGACCGAAAATGTGTGTTATCCTTCGAAGTGAAGAATTGGTTTGATTACCTCACCGGTAAAAATTTGGTAGAAGGTCAACATATAGTAACCGGTAAAGCCCCAGACTTCGGGCTTTTACCTTGTCATATATAATAGAGAACAATCTGTACATAACATGGAATAACATAACGCTAATGTTAAACTAACTGAATACCTAAATTTGATTAAAAAAATCGTTTGAATCCAGTTCAGCGCATTCGTGTCAGGAAGTCCCAATGGTTTCGCCATCTTTGATGCCAAATGGTTTTTAACTGCCCTTGAATGAAGTCAGCGATAACAAATTTTTCGAAACTCACACTTTAAATAATTACTATTGCATCATTGCAATACTACATATAATAAATTCAAAACGCTGCGATGGCTGCTGGTCAGTCATTAGAATATTAAACTACATATTACTTTAAAAAGATTAAAATATATATTGTTTGGATTCGTTGTTCATGGAGCCTGGAATTAGGACTATGGATGCAATCGATAAAGATAATGTTACTGTAAAAGGAAAAATTACTCGATTAGTGAAATTCCTGAAACTGTTTCGTCGGACATCGGGTTAGTTGAACTGAAAGAGAAACTAAAAACTGTTGAAACACGGAAAAAAAAGGGTGGATGAAATGCGAAGTGAGTATTACTCACTATAGGGCACCAAAAAAACTGAACTGTCTACCATCGATAAAGATTTGAATAATTGTGAAAATTGTCTTGACAAAATGGAAGTAAGAAATCAAACATCAATAAATTCTTATGATTTGAATACTGGGAAAACAAGTAATAGAGTTGAAAAGAAATTCGAAGTTGAAATTAAGAGTTGAAAGAAACTGTGGTTCCTACTATAGTTTTGCCGGCATTTACAGAAAAATATAATAGGTTCAGCTCTTTTAAAATTTAATTTTAGGACCTTTGGTGACCTCTCTGAAGAACTTAAATATTTTTTCCGAACTTTAGGGAGAGATAAAGAATCATGTGTTCATTAAAAGACGCTACTACATTGTCGTTCGAGGCCAACTAATGATTGTAAAAAGTACCATAACTAGATCGTAAAAAGTAGATAACTAGATAACGATTTTCTCTGGTACTTATAATAAAAAACCTTGGGGAGTTTTAACATTTGCCTGATGAAGCAGGATTGAAAGCATGTAAACTTGTTTGACTGTCGTATGAAATTTAAAGGCGACTCAAACATTTGTTTTTCATCGTCACAGGCAGCCAAACAGAATTTGGTCCCTCACATCATTCTTTCGTTTTTGCGATTCAACTGTAACATTAGATTTCTATCGAAGTAGCTGGGTTACCCATGGATTCTCTCTTTCCGCAGTTCAAGTGAGCACTATTTCTTAGTGTGTGGAAATATTCATACCCGTTTTTTCAACTATGAGTTGTGGTGGATTCTGTAACTGTGACATTTAAATAAGTGTCTGTTCCCAAAGTTTCGATCTTTTTATTTGTATCTGCAATTATCAAAAATGTTACTTAAACGTTTTAAATATTTTTAAGTGTTTGCTTCATTTTTAAAATTGTTTTATTATTATTATTATTTATTTATTTAAATAGAATGGTACTGTTGTTTGAACTTAGAATAATTATTTTAAACTATTTTGATAATGATGAGATTTCTTTTTTAAGATTATATTTAACATGTTAAGATCTTATGATTACACATTTTAAATTTTTATAATATTATTAAAGTACTTTTTAGCATCTTCAAAATCGTATGCATTAAAAAATACATACATCTAAACAGAACAGAAAACGTTAGTCAGTATCAAGAATTGTAATGAGATAATATAATTATAATTTATTTATAGAAAATGATAATGAATCAAATACTGCCAATTTATATGTATTAAACAATAAACATGAATTAAAAATGACTACTGATGGTCATCGAATCATAATTTTGGACTTTAGAAATGCTAATAACTAATTCGAAATATTTGTATCACACCACCGCCATTAAGAGAAGAGCATCTTGTGATTCGAAAGAAAAAAAAGTTCGTCCGAAATGAGCCATCGAAGTCACTCGACAAAGGTTTGAAATGTTACAGTTGAATCAGGAGACACACACTTTTTCGAATCAATCGAGAAGAAGTCCCCGAATGGGATTCGATCTGAAATTGTTTTCGTAGCATAAGGGCAGATGTATAATGTCTGGCTGTTCGACTTTTTGTGATACTAAGGCTTCGCTTTTTTTTCCGAACATTGATAGTAAAAATATAAATTAAGAGCGGGGATTCAAAAATTTTTATAAATTTTTATCGTTATTAGTTTTTATTATTTTATTATTTATTTCTGTGCATTCTTTTCTTTTTAAATTTTAATTCATTCCATCTCTTACCGTAACTGCTGATTAGATTTTAATAACAGTTCCAATTGAAATGTATACCTGCACTCATTGTTCTGATAATGCCATAGACGTATCTATTAAAAGAATCTCTTACTGGCGCCCTTCTTAAAATATTAATGTTCTCTTTTTTAATGCAATACAAAATAAATGCATTGGTTGAAGTATTTAACTCTTTTGACAATATTGCACAAAGATTGTACTGAATTTTTTTTTTTTTTAAAAAAAAGGATTGATAAATAAATAAATATTAAACTAGGAGGCTTCGCCCCCTGCTCGCTGACGCTCTCCAACCCCCGGAGCTGCCTTCGCAGTTCATTTCGAATTGCTTCGCAATCTGATGCTCGCTTCCCATACAGCACATTGACTTCGTTATGACATCCTAAAGTTGTCATCTTTAGGATTCTGTGACTTCCAGAGGAAGTCCTATATTTACCGCTAAATGTCCTACGGATGTCATCTGCGTGTTAGAATGTCCCACCTGCAGATATCTTAATGATGTCATAACTAGGACAGTTTCAGGATACCTTTAGAACGCTTTAGGATGGCATTAGGACATAATAAGACCTGTTTAGTAAGGATTTAGGTAACTTGTGGGATGCATGTTGGAAATGGTATGATAGTAATAGGAGGGTGTCTTATTTTGGAAATAAATTTCATCTTTGAAATTTTTATTAATTTTAGCAACTTAAATAAGGTTTTTCTTTTAAATTTACTGAATTAGAGGTCAGAAAAATGTTTTCTAAATGAAAAAAAAGGTGATAGTTTTTAATTTGTATACCACTCTATTTTTCCAGAAAAATGGGCTATTCCTCTACTATTTTTTTTAGGAAAATTAGTAAAGGAAAAGGGAGTAAAACAGTTAATAAACAAACGTATCTAAAGAAAAGAATAATGTATCATTTTAATACAAAAATATGCAAGATAATTGGATTTCACATTTCTATTGCTTGGAATAAAAACTTGGCCATTATTAAAAAGTCTAATTGAATGTACCCTTTGAACACCAAGGAAGGTTACCATTCTCCTAATTAGCGTTAGTTTT